CCGAGGCGTAGCTGGCAAGCGGCAGAGACGGAGCAGGCCGACCACCAGCTGGCCCAGCCCAAGGGAGGTAAGGCACCCGCCGGAAAAGGGGGGAAAAAATGGCGGACAAAAAAAATGGCGGACAGCCTTGCTTGGCGACCCCCGTGAAATGGTCGATCGACCCCAAATGGGGTCCCGACCCACAGGTTGAGAACCACTGTACTAAATACAAGATCTAATCTGGGTTGGTCACCAGGACCAGCGGCTTAGTCTTCTGAGTTTTGGTACTCATGCTTCAGCCCACCTTCACGAATCTTCTCTCTATTGGAATGTGTGCTTTGGGCTATTCTATGCGTCGTATTTACGGGGTGTCTGTGTTTGGGTGTGGCTTCTTATTGGTTGATTGGGGTGTTGATGGCCGACTAGTAAGTCGTTGGCTGTTGTATCCTTGTGCTGCCAAGCCCTCACCTCCTACGTATTTGATAAACTGGTGGTAAATCAGCACTCCTATTTCCCAGGCTTCAATCACTTCCCTGGCTGTTTTTGTACCTGCTCGTCCAACAATCTGAGTAGGTGCGAAATTGAATGTATGTCTTTGTTCATTGCAGTGTGAGGTAATCAACGAGTTTGGGTCTCCTCGTCTGATTGCTCGCTTGTAATCTGGTAGTTAGCTTCCTCCCCTTCATAGCCCTAGCTAGTCACAGGGACAATCCATTCAGGGGATCCGGTAGATTACATTAGGAGTACCTCCCACCTCCAAGTGACCATTGCAATCTTTGCTACTAAATACACTCCGTGGTTTGCTAGCATACCTCTAGGAGTAAGCATACAGATGTAGAAATACTTCTGCTCTACAGCCGTCCTTCCAGTTTGCTCCACAGCTTGCTCCAGCATTGTGCCCTAACCTTTACTTGAAATCTGACTTTATAATAGCTTATTTCCCTAATCGAATCTCTTTAAAAATTTCTTTTGGGGAAAACGTAACTGACGATATAGCGGTTGCGTAAACATCTCCTTTGAGAAGCTTTTTTTCCCCTCTCCTATTCAACATTTTATTAGTTTTCTGAGTTTACAATTCATAGGTGCTTAGTAAACAACGTGTTGTCTGGGTCCATTTGTTTTATTTAACAATGCATGTGAAATTCCTTAGTGACAGATTTTATTTTCCTGGGCTCCAAGATCACCGCAGATGGGGACTGCGGCCAAGAAATTAGAAGACGCTTGCTCCTGGGGAGGAAAGCTATGGCAAATCTAGACAGCATACTCAAAAGCAGAGACATCATCCTGCCAACAAAAGTGCGTATGGTCAAGGCCATGGTTTTCCCAGTTGCAATGTGTGGCTGTGAAAGTTGGACCATAAGAAAGGCTGAGCGCCGAAGAATCGAGGCCTTTGAACTCTGGTGCTGGAGAAGACTCCTGCGAGTCCCCTGGACTGCAAGGCCATCCAACCGGTCGGTCCTGGAGGAGATCAACCCCGACTGCTCTTGAGAAGGCCAGATCCTGAAGTGGAAACTCAAGTCCTTTGGCCACCTAATGAGAAGGAAGGACTCCCTGGAGAAGAGCCTGATGCTGGGAAAGATGGAGGGCAAGAGAAGAAGGGGATGACAGAGAAGGAGGTGGCTGGATGGAGTCCCTGAAGCAGTAGGCGGGAGCTTCAATGGACTCCAGAAGATGGTAGAGGACAGGAAGGCCTGGAGGAACGTTGTCCGTGGGGTCGCGATGGGTCGGAGACGACTTCGCAACTAACGACAACAATTAAATTCCTAATGAGAAGCTGTTTTGGGGGGGGCTTTCAGCGTGAGTTAGATTTTGCGAAGGATCATGTATCGGCATAAATATTTGTGGACGCGTGGAGGGGATGTGGTCCTGCTTGCCTGACTGCCCGTGGCGAATTGGCCATCTGTGTGGAGCAGCTACACAAATGGACTTCCCTGCTAACGAGATGTTCCATTTAAATGTCACGAGGTCCCTGCAGAACTGAGCAAAGTGTCCTTGGCTAGTTGTCTTCTTCGGCTGGGGCTTGTCCAGGGCCATCCATCACCCCCGTTGCTTGTTTGACACCTCATGTTTCTGAGCACCAGGGATGCTTTTTCGGATGCCAGCTCGTCGTTTTGTTCTCCTCTCCTGTCGTTATTCATTTTGCTAAAAAAGGAGACAGCTTTGGCTTCCGTACCCTCTGGG